AACAAAATCAGTCCAGACTTTATAATGCTTGTTTGGTAGAATACCCTTCAAAGCAAAGAGGGAATAGTAGATTACCCAGTTCTTCCACTGGTCGGCTGTGAAGCCACTGAAGCCAGTAGCTATTTTTGCAGGAATTCTTCCGATGTCAGAAGGTGGTGCAATGGCATCAAYTCGTTTTTGGATGACTTGAAAGTCCTTTTCCGTTAAGTGCCCATTCTCCTTCCAAATTTTCATGGTATGTTTTGCAATGCCAAGAAATAGGCAGTGCATTGGGTCAATGACCACAAACCGTACTGCATCATAGTAGGGGAGCTGAAGCAAGGATGTGTACCTTGCTCCTGACTTGGAAATTAGTTCTTTTAATTTTGTTGGACAGTTTGCAGATAAAGTCTTTTCGGCATGTCTACGATGTAACTTATCTGTTCTTTGCTCMCAGTTTTCAGTGTCAAATCCAGAAAAGTCAGGTTTGGTACCAAATCCCTCCCTGGGAAACTCCTTGAAACACTTGTTACACCCTGTTAATGAGAAAAGCATAAACAAGTAAATACAAAGGTCCATACATGTATTTATTATTTAATTCATATTGTAAAAATCAATAATAGGTATACAAATCCATTACAGAATACAAATAATATGTAGTTTATACCACAATTGTTTTTAAAGCTTTAAATTAGTAAGATCTAGAAAAGTAAATATTCCTAGCCTTTCAATGATTAAAAATGTTGGCAATGATGAAGTKTAAAATGTAACAATTATTACTAACCTCTTGTTGCTGTATGGCCAGCAAATCCACCACACTTTCTTGCAGCTGGAACGTCACAGCACAGAGCCACTAATGCCACTCGAACCTTTACAATGTCAAAAGAGGATTCTTTGAACACCACACCATCCCATAAATCTGATAACGCATTTACAAATGGCTGTAGAAATGAATTAATGTTTCCTTTAGGTTCTGAAGGTCCAGGGATAATGCCAACTACAACAACATTTTCTATCTTAAAACGTTCTTCGCGAGGAAGGTTCATAAAAACTGCATATATTACGCCACAGCTATAATTAGTGTGCTTATAAGGCTGAAACCAGTCTACATTGATCATGATACCCAAATTTCCAAATGTTGAAAAGAATGGTTTTCCATCCACATCCATTGGTCAGCGGCACCGGCTATGGTTGCCACATCGTTGTGTTAGTCCGTATTTATCTGTGTTCATCACTGTTAGCCTTGAGCTAACAGTCCATCATGTGGCCTAATTTTGTTCCTAACGTGCCCCTTGCGGTACTGATGCAGTTTGTTATCAACTTTGCCTCTACCATGGTAGTTTATGCCAAC